ACTTGACCTTTTCTGTTTTCCACAACTGGAACCCAGAGGAGAGACAGCTTCTGTGTTTGGTCATGATTTAAACCCACCCAGGCAGCTAAGGAAAAACCCAGGGCCATCCAAGGAAAGGGCTCCTACTACAAAGGCCAGGGCCCAAGGTTCTGCCAACCCTCTGTCTGAGCCCCTCTCTAAATGTGAGATGGCTAATGCACCTGACCTGTGGAACTGGAAGTCTGACTGTCCACACTGAACAAGCCAGGTTACCCACAGTGCCCCTGTCCGCAGACATTACCATCTCCCCTGAGGAACCCTGGGCAATCTTAGCCATCAGGACTGAGCCAGTTTACCTGCTTACAGAGACTGAGGCATCTCATTCTGCTTTGATTTCCTTCTCTGTAAACCTCTCTTCTAAGTGGACAGCCATAGTGAGTATGGTTGAAGGCACCCATACTCAGAGATTCTTTGCTCCTCCTCTGACATGTCACTTTGAAGATCAAGTGTTCAAGCATGAGTTTCTAACAGTCCCACAGTGTACTATTTGCTTGTTAAGAAGAGCTTTATTAATAAAAATGAGGCTTGGAATGTTGCTCAGTGGCATAAGTGCCTGCCTGGTAAGTGCAAGGTCCTGAGTTTAATTCCAAGAATGAATGAATGAATGAATGAATGAATGAATGAATGAATGAATGAATGAATAATAAATAAATTGAGGGCAATTCTCAAATTCTGGCTAATACCAAAATGGATTTTACTTGCTGGGGCTACATCAAATCTCTCTGACCAAATGATCTAACATGTAAATACAGCTACATGGTATAAGGGAATATCTGGTAGGTAAAATTCAGCTATATCAGTAATTATGACATTAAAAGACCTTGGCCAATTTCCTAATCAAAAGCAATATCCAATCAAGAAAGAGGCAAGTAAGGACCTCCAGCCTCTCATCCAGATTTCTCAGAAATGGCCTTTTGAAATCTGTCACCGCCCCCCTTGCTATACTCCCATCCTTCCTGTAATTAAGCTTTCAGGAGAATATAGGAATGTACAAGACCTCCACCTCATTAACGACTCTGTGATTGCATTCCACTCTCTAGGGGGCACATTCATATACATTTCTCTCCCAAATTCCAGCAGACTTTTATTTTCTCTGTTTTAGATTTAAAAGATGCATTCTTCCCTACCCCCCTATGTCCAGACTCAAAAATTCTGCCTTTGAATGGCAAAACTCCACTACAAGAGAAAGACAACAATATACTGGAACATTTTTTTCCCATATGGGTTTACAAATACTCCTCACCTTTTTGCTTGGCCACCTGAAAAGTCTTTAGGAATAAAAATCTAGAAGAAGAAAACTTCCTACAATACGATATAATATTTTAGTTTTCAACCCAACTCAGGAACTAGCTAACCATAACACTTTCACTTACCATTTTAGTTTAAAAGGGCTATGCAGTGTTATGATTTGTGTCTTGTTGCCCCCCTCCCCAAGCCTCATGCAGTCACTGGGACAGGCTTCTAGAGTTTGTGATTAATTCATGATCCAATGCTGGGATTATGGGTGTGGATGCTACACCCACCCAGGGATGGATGGCCTGAGTACAATGTAGGAAGGGGAGAGAGCCCCAGCCACTGCTCCTCCCTTTGTTCTTCACTGTTTTCCACCACCGTGAACTGCTGCCCTCTGCCATGGGCCACTCTGCCTTGCAGCCAGCCTAGGCTGAAACCTCCACAAACTGTGACCTAAGTAAACTTTTCCTTCCTTAATTTTGAGTGTCATGTATTTTGTCCCAGCAATGAAAGAAAAGTAACCAAGACAAGTGCCTTGGGAAATTTAGCACACGGCAAGTTGTGCCTCGCCACCTCATAGCTATGCATGATCTTAGGCCTGCCTTGTTAAGTAATTTTGTGAATGCAATGAATGCTATAGAAACAAAGAGATAAGACTACCTGTAGGATTGGTGGCAAACAAAGGTGTTTCTAGATAATCTGTGAGCAACAAAGCTTAAAATACACTCCTTCAGACTGTCGATAGTGTCACACATTGCTCACCCTAGTGCATGTTGAAAGATCTTGCTCTGGTAGATGAGGTCAGTGAGAGCTGTATGAAAAAATTAAAGGTATGTGTTCACATTATTCAAATAGGACAACACTCAATGGTGAGGAGAGATAGATGGAAAAGGAGCCACCCTGTCTTGATACTGTGTACAAGAGCATCAGAACTCAGAAGAACAGGGGACCAGATTCTGGTGGGGGCTGTCAGCTCAAGGCAGACTCTCTTATGAATTCCAGTGCATTTCCTGGAAGCTAAGTGATAGCCAGTGTCCTTCTCCAGAGAGCAATGGACAGATGGAAAGGTGAGGACTTTTCGGGACATTAACAATAGAAGAAAACTTGTTTTGACTTTATACAACACTGGATCATATGAAGCTCTCCATGTGTTATTTTTATACCTCACTTATAAAAAAATTCTAGTCCTAACCTCAGCCTTATACTCACAGGACTTGAGAATGTGTCGTTATATCCCAACCTTATGTCTTTACAGGGACAGTCATATAAAAATGTGAGTATTAGATGGGTCCTAATCTGCCCTCACTAGTGTGTTCACACAAAGGGAGAAGTTCAGAGAGGACATGCAGGAAAGGATTGGTCTGTGAAGACTACAGTTGTGCTGCCAAAAAGTAAAGAAAGTATTTCTACAGTGTGGGATATAAGTTTTTCAATAATTAAAAATAAAGTTCCTCTAGCTATTCTCTAGCTGTAAACCAGCCTTCCTCCTCCTGTTCAAGAACACAAAGCTACATATTAGTGACATTGTATATTACTGCTTACAAGATTGAAGGGATGTTTAGAATAATTGTGAAGATATCCAGACAGTAGGACAATCAACAAAATATCTTATGAGGGAGATGCATCTTCTACAGTTTGTTGTGCTTAGAAGTTTGTGCTATAAGGGCTGGGGAGGTAGCTCAGCAGCATAAGCACCTGCCTGGCAAGCACAAGGGCCACTCTTGTTTTGTCCCTGGTAAAAGGAAAAAAAGAAAGGAAGGAAGGAAAGAATGAAGGAACAAAGGAAGGAAGGAAGCTAGGAAAAAAAAAGGAAGAAAGAGAGATAGAGAGCTTTGGGGTCAGGAGATAGCTTGGTGGTGTAAGTCCCTGCCTGGCCATCAAAACTGGGCATGGTGATGAATACCTGTAATGCCAGTGCTGAGGAGCCCGGCACAGGAGGAGGATCACTGTGAGTCTGAGCTGCAAAGGGAGACCCTGGACCAAATAAATAAATAAATAAATAAATAAATAAATAAATAACAAATTTCTGCTACACATTTTCTGCTCTCATAATGGTACTTCCAACACATTTTCCCTCAGTAGAGTTAGTACCTACTATATTAAGTAATGAAAAAGAAAAGGAGTCAGACTAAACACCAAGGACATTTATAATAAAATATGTTTTTACAGTTCAGAAAAAAAAATTGAATCAGAAATATAAGAGCTCCAATATGCTATGGCACATTGTGGCAGATTTCCATATAAATATTATATAGATCTGTGAGGAACATGGCTGATTCAGTGAAATTTTTTTTTTTTTTTTGGTGTTTATCTATGATAGTCATGAGAATTTTAATCATTGGGGTACTAGAACTGAGCTAAACAAAAATAGCTATATGATCCTAGCTAGTTTCTTCCTGTACCTTGATAATTTCATTGATTTGTGGATTGTTGAGATTGCACAGTTGAATTACCTTTTGTGAAACAGAGGTTTGACAAAAGTATCTCATCTATGCTGAACAAGCTAAACATTTCATTTGGTCTTGGCTGAACTGGTTTATAGATTTTCAAACACATATATCCACATTTATTACTATATTTTTATTTATTTTTTTTTCTTTTGCGGAACCGGGAATTGAACTCAGGCCCTTGCGCTTGCCAGTCAAGCATTTATTCTACTGAACTATCTCCCTGGCCCGTTACTATATTTCTTAATTTGATTCAACTGGTTATGAAGATTCATAGTACTGTACATCAAGTTGTTTACCTTATGTGAAAAACCAAAGATAGTGTTTACAAATTAAGGAACCTAAAATGCAAAACTCAACCTGGATTACTTAGGTGAACTCTAAATTAAAAGCAAATGTCTGTTTTAAATTGAGAGACAGGGAGATTAGACACAGGTAAAATAGACTTCTGCATGAAGATGCAGCTGAGGTTGATTTGAAGATGCTGGCTGTATTCAAGGGAAATCGGTAAGTATTAAAAGATGAAACAGCAGAGCTTAATCGAGCGCTCACAGAGGGACTGTGGCTCTTGCCAAGGTCTTGACTCTGGCCTACTTGCATTAAGTTTGGACTTTAGATTCACAGAACACTAACAGGATGCAGTTCTTGCATTTGACCACTGGTTTTATTTTTATGGTAATTTGTTACATTAGAGGAAACTGATGCAAGTTCTTCTAGTCTAACAGTTTTCACTCCTTTTTAGGAGCAATTTGGTGTTCTGTGTACTCTCTCTACCTGTTTCCTTCTACATTTTCTGTGCTCATTTGGAAATCATCTTCCCTGATTTGAGGAATCTTTGTTTCTCAAATTTGATAAATATTGGTCCTTTCTGGACTGACACAAATACAATAAATAAAAAGTCAGGCAAAAATAGACTGACTTGGGGCCAGCCAAATAGCTCAGCAAATTAAAGCGCCTGCAAGCAGGTGCAGGGGCCGGGGGTTCAATACCTGGGCCTGCTGTGTTGGCCCTGCCCCTGGGGTGTGCCGAGACAGTGGTTGAGACTGGGAGTGGTGGCATGCACCTGTAATCCCAGCTCTTGGGAGGCTGTAAATAGGTGGATCACTACAAGTCTGATCTAGTAGTGAGACCCTGAACACCCTATAGACCCTTCCCTAAAATACAAAACAAAAACAGACTGAATCAAATTTAAATATATGTAATGTCTACAAATCATAAAATTTAGTAACTAGTTTAAAGACACAAAGTAATTATTACACCTAATTCAAATCTAGACTGGACACAGATCACTTTGCTCTCTTCTCAACAATTACAAAGCGTCACAAGCTAAAACTTCCTGGTATGTACATTAGATACTTACAAATTCTCATCCAGCCAATTAGTATACATATCTTTTATCCTAAGACCTACACGTAAATAAAATGGTGCTGTCATGTAGGACAAAGCTCCATGGATTCCATTCTCAATATGCTCATGAGCCACCGGAACTCCAACCTTTCGAAGTCTTGAAACATACATCAGTCCATCATCTCTAAGGATGTCGTGCTGGCAGGTAAGGACATAGGTCGGCGGCAGATTCTGCAGCTGGGAGTCGTTCGCCAACAGGGGCGATGCTCTGTTGTCCATGAGCGCTGGCAATGAATAAGCAGACCTGCCAAGAACCGGTTCAGTGTAAACATGGTCCTTTCTAAACTTTTCAGGAAGAAGGGTGCTCCAGTTAACAAATTTGAACAGAGGTCTGGATTCCAGAGGCATGTGTTGGTTTTTTCTCATTGCCTGGGGAAGCGCTTCATCCTTGGTGAAATACAGACTCACAAGTTTTATGGTTACGTCCCTTGTCAGAACGATACCGTGCTCGTTTTCTCGATGAGATGGTAAGTAAGTATCGATCATCTGTAAACCAGGGTATAGTAAAGCTTGTAGTTTGATTTTATTTTTTATTTTGGGATCATTCTGCATCTGAAAAAAATAATACTTTGGTAAGGCAAAAGTTTCCAAAACACCAGAAGAAAAAAATTAAATGTTTTAAGCAATCATGAGATAACCCTAAATCACTGATTGTTAGGGCTTGTATCTAGATGTCTCCCTAAAGCCTCAGACGCCCATAGGAGGGGATTTTCAGAGGTGGCTGGATTATTATTATTATTAT